TTGTCCTTAAGTAGATTTCTAGGAAGTCCCCACGTGGGATTCATCAACGCACTCGTAAGCCGCTGAATTGTTCGCAGCTGTTCTCTCAGATTGATGAATCCCATTTCCTCGTAAGTACAGCGCGCGTGCCAGGTGCTTCATTACCATAGGTACTTAGCATAAGTAACCGCCCATTAATGCCCATATAAGGGACTGCAGGGCCGTGTGCAGACGCCAGAGGAAACAGCAACAGGCCTAAAGCAGGCTTTTGCCAGACTGAGAATAAAGTTATAAAATGTTGACTTAAAAGTCGAAATATTATGATAATAAAGTCGAACTAGCAAAATTATGAGATTAATCTAAGAATATGATGAGATTAATCTCAAAATGTTATGATCTTAATTTAAAAATATATTATGTATTATTTTAAAGATGAATCTCAAAATGTTTTGAGATTAATCTCAAAATATTTTGGACCCTGGGAGGAGATCCAGCGCGGACCAGCGCTGAGACCAATGCAGACCCGAGGAGAGACTGGAGTGACCAGCACACAGAAACCAGCGCGGACCTATAGGAGAGACCGCATAGACTGGAGTGACCTGACTGGAGAGACCGGTGCGCAGAGACCAGCGCGGACCGAAGATAGACCGCATAGACCAGACTTGAGAGACCAGCGCGGACCCGTAGGATCCAGGAGCATGCAGCACGGACCCGTATGGAGAGAGACCAGTGCAGACCCGTATATGGGAGAGACCAGTGCAGACCCGTCTAGATCCATGGGAGAGACCAGTGCAGACCCGTATAGATCCATGGGAGAGACCAGTGCAGACCCGTATAGATCCATAGGAGAGACCAGCGCAGAGACTCAGCGCGGACCCAGTAACCTCCTGCAGCAGCAGTATATATGCCGTTGTTCTGTGGCCCGTGAATAAAGAAATGCCCCCTATAAATAGGAAGGGGTCACTAATACACGGCAAGATTTCCAATGTATTTGATAAAGCGTTGGCACATTTCATTTCAAAATGAATTAAAAAGTAGGCCAGATCTGCAGTGAAAAAGGCGGTATATAAATAAAGATTACTAATAAAGATTACTACAAATAAATAAATACATACATCGATATGACGGACATATCACTGGAATGTTGTATTTTTATTCAACTTCACCAAAGAGGACAACCCCGGCGTGTGAACATGTCGGCACTGAATGCGTACGAGTGCTCCTGAGGACTCGTAGGATTTGTACTTGCCCAAGACAAATTCTGGTTACGAGAAATATTCGTGAATGCCACTTTCTTCGTAAAAACCGCGTAAGTAGGATTTACGTACAAATCTGTTCCTAAGAACCGTTCGTGAATGAGGCCCATTGTCTCCACAGCCTGCTGCTTTCACCCCTGGATGAAACAGCAGCTCTCACACCACGTGTTACTTTAGACCAGGGGTGCTCACACTTTTTCAGCATGCGAGCTACTTATAAAAGGATCAAGTCAAAATGATCTACCTACTACAAAAATGCAAATCATATATTTATTTAAAAAAATATTCTTTATATCTACAATGTATGTTTATGTACATGCAAAACCGCATGAGCCAATATAGCACAACACAACACAATTACCTATGTACATTTTTTGTCATTACCCGAGTTTACTCTGATGACTTGCACTGAATTGAATCGGCCAGGGAGGCATAGTCCGGAAAATTGGTGGTAACTCGCTGACAAGTTTGTCGTGGTTTAGCTTTCCTGCACTGAGCGCGGTTGTTTGCGCATGTGCAGTCACCTAAGTGTCAGTAAAACATTACTGAGTAAAACACAGATGTCATTTGACTGTGGTGCCATGTCCATGTGCCATGCCTATTTTTTTAAAATCCAAATATTTTCCCTCCTCAGTTTATAAAATAATTTGCATCCACACATCTGCGTTATCAATCACATTCGTAACATTCCAAACATGTGCGTCTCTTACGTCCTGTCCTGCGTTGGGGAAAAACACAGAAGTGGGCGGAGCTTTGATGCAGACGCCGGTAACGGCACTTTTACAGTCATAGAAGACACTCAGAGTAAAGACGTATGTTTACAAGCACTGACCCCGTCCTCAGCCCTGGTTTAGTCCTGGTTTAGTCCTGGTTTAGTCCTGGTTTGGTTGTTTTCGAGCGTGAGTCCCCGCGATCACTTTGCTGCTCTCTGATGTGGAGGATGTTTGCTGCTGCAAGCATCTCACAGCGAACAGTTTTTAAGGTAGTATGATCCATGCTTCAGTGATCAGAGGAATTTAGGGAGGTACTGTGGCGTGCGAGAACGCAAAACTCCGGTTATCTCTGTCTACACACAAATGCATTAACGGAGTTTTCAAAAATCTCCACTTTGCCCGGAGTTTTTTGTATATATTCGTTTAGAATGTGTAAATTTTTATTTATTTAATGCGATCTACCAATACTACCTTTGCGATCGACTGGTAGATCGCGATCGACGTATTGAGCACCCCTGCTTTAGACTTAGACATTTAGAGATGAGTTTGTCCTGTCTGAGGAAGGGGTAGATCCCCAGCCTCACATCCAGACCTGTGTCTCTTCAAACAAGTGTTTCCATCATTTTATTAAACACAAATATTGATTTCCATTGACTTTGTACAAGACCAAAAACATTCTATAAATTCATATTTCACACAGACATTTGTTTATATTAGTTTTTTCCCCTTTGAGACATTCAAACAAAAACAGCAGAGGTTCAAATTGTTTTGAGAGTTTTAAAGTAAAAAACTCAAGCATGTTGAACGTGGAGTACAAGAAGAAATGTGGACCTTACCATACAGTAGTTGGAGTAGTAATAGTAGTAGTACTAGCAGGACGAGCAGTAAAAGTAGTAGAAGCAGTGATTATATTTTCTAATAAAAAACATCCCACATAAACTCACTTTGGTCAAACACCGACATATAAGTAGCAGTAGAAGAAGCTGTAGTAGCAATAAAAGCAGTAGTCATCGTAGAATTCAGACTGCAGCCAGTTAGCGTCAGCACTAAAGTTTTTAGATAGATTAACTACTATAGATAGATACTTTATTGATCCCCGTGAGAGAAATCTAGGTTTCCAGTAGCAGCCAAAATACTGGATTACCAAAGCAGCCAAAATACTAGTTACTACATGTAACTGGATAATTTCTACTAGTTACATGTAGTAACTAGTAGAAATAGCAGTAGAAATAGCAGTAGTACTTCAAAAACATTGCAGGAATTACACACACAGTATAGAAGCTGGTAGTATTTGTAGTAGTGATAGTAGCAGAAGTAGTGATCGATAGAATGGATAAAGCTTCACGATTGACGTAGTAGTAGTAAGGAAATGCAGTGGTGGTAGTAGCTCACAGGAAGGACCTGTTTGAGCCACAAGGTATAAACTCGCATAGCAACCTCATAGCAACCAGCCAATCAGGAGCTTTGTTGCTACTTTTGCAGCTTAGCAACAAGATGCTGCGTAACGCATTCATGCATCAAGAGTTCCGAGCTTCCGGCTCGACCGCACGGCATTGTGGGTAGTTTTGTCAAAAAGGTGGGTATATGGCATCAAATCACGCTGCCATTTTGGATTACTTGTTGTGAACGTGATCTCTCTCTCTTGTTTCCAGCCCATAGATTGTTTTAATAGCTAAAAAAATCACCAATTTCAGACATTTTTGAAGGCGTGATTTGATGCCCACCTTTTTGACAAAACTACCCACAATGCCGTGCGGTCGAGCCTGAAGCTCGGAACTCTTGATGCATGTATAAGGGTGAATTCCATCAATATTGTACTGACTATGGTATCAGAGGAGTCTACAGTAGCATGTAGAAGTAACATTAGTTGTAGTAGTAGAAATAGAAGTAGCATTAGCAACTAGTAACTAGTAGTAGTCACATTAATAGTTTTAGTAGTAGTATTAAAATCAAAAGTAGTAAAGCTGAACACGGTTCAGAAGGGCCTCTGGGGCGATACTCGGGGCCTTCGCTCGGCCCACGGGGCGAGAGAAGGCAGATTCACACGTCTCCACGGCGACCATGAGATTCACATTTTTCCATGGCGACCGGGAGAGCACAGCGCCACCTGCCGCTGGAGGTGGAGCAGCACAGACTTAGCGGCTTCACACAGAAGAAAAAACTGTCTGCAACTGTCAACAAAGGCGGCCATTTTGGATCTCAATAACTGGATTATAGTTAAACAGATGACCAATGTAATAAAGTCAAGTTGTTGGGGCTTTTTTCAGTTGCTCTTTCTCAACTTCTTCTAGAGTTACGAGCAGAGGAGACAGATCTAAAATGGCCGCCGCAGCCTCTGGAACAAGGAGCTGACCAATCACAGCTCATGTCCCACTCATTATCAAAGCATTAATTTAATACAGTGTTAAAATAAATATAAAAACGATTGAGACCAAACAAGCTTGTCTCAGATTCAACAAGAGAAAGAAATATTTTACAGTGAAATCTTTAAATGTTTTAACACAATTTAAGATACAATTTGTATCAAATATGTGGAGACTTCAGGAGTGAGATCTCTGAATAAAAAGTAAAAAAAAAAAGATCATAAATGTGAGAGTGGAAGGAAAGAAGTCCACACGCGGTCTGCACGGTTTAACGCCTTTTCATGAGCAAAGACAGCGATCATGTTTGAATTAGTGATATAGAGAACATATTGAAGATTGGCCAGTTTGACATTGGAGCCTCATATTGGTAAGAGCACTAGTAGCCTTCCTTTTAATTTCTAGGTAAAACAAGACATTTTTTGCTTGTTCATTGCCAAATCCGCCCTAAGATGGTGCGGATGTTCTCATACAAACATCTACAAACAGCAGTACATTCACTTTTTTGTTACTGAAAAACTCTTAAAAACAAAGAAAATACATTGGTTTCCAGTCTGAGGCACTATAACAGCTAATGAGATTCTGTAACAGCTAATGAGAGTATGGTGAAAGTATCACGACCAATATCAAAACCTGTTTGTCAGAACCGTGCAGCCCGAGTTCACACAGTCTTCTTTTTCCACAGATCTAGATCAGAACCCGCCCTGAGCCTTCTCGGCTAAGATGGCGGCGGCAAGTTGCTGTGGGTCAGTGATGTGGGGACATTGCGCCATCACGTGGCCGACCAGTTCCGAGGGAAAGATGTTGGATAGGTTCACAAAGGCCTTTTCCCGGGCCTGGGCATGGAAGTGTGGCCCCAGATCCTCCCAGTACCCAGGCGAGCAGTCCGCGCGAGAGTCCACCAGCGGCGGCCGGAAGCACGTGTCCCAGTGAGGCAGCGCCTTGGGTCGGGGGCGCGGGTCGAAGTGTCTGCTTGCGTGCTGCTCCTGGAGGTATAAGCGCTGTGTTCCATAATAGTGGAAGTCCTCGGAGGAATCGCAGCTGCTGCTTTCACTGCCGCATTCGGAGCCGGTCGAGCCCAGCGAGCCCAGCCTGTAATCCTGGTCCGGAGATGGTCGCAAGTCCTGGAATCGCCTGAAGTCCTGAGGAGGTCGGAAGTCCGCTCTAAAGTCCTTGTTGGGTGGAAATTCAGGTTTATAGAGCGGCCTGAAGCCATGTTTGGGTCTATAGTCCAGTGTAAACTCCTGACGTGATCCAAATTCAGGTCCAAAGTCCTGGCTACATCTCAGGTCTTGGCTGAATCTTTGGTCCCGGCTGGATCTCAGGTCAGGCAAAGAGTCCTGGTTGGATCTAAGGTTCGACCTTAAGTCTTGGTTGAAACTCATATCTCGTCTAAAGTCATGGAACGGTCGATAGTCCGGTCCAAAATCCAACCGCCTCACGTCCGTAGTAGAGTCTTGACTGAGTCGGTAGCTGTTTCTATGGTCTTGGTTGTATCTATAGTCCACTGTAGAGTCCTGGCTGAATATTCCAGGGTCCTGAAGGGATCTAAAGTGCTTCCCAAAGAGATGGTTAGGTCTGTAGTCAGGTGCAGTATCAGGATGAGATCGTAAATCCGGACTTGGTCCAAATGTCGTCAGTCTGAAGTCAGTTGTAGAGTCCTGATTGAAAGTTCCCAAGTCCTTGTTAGATATTATATTCATCCCAAATTCCTGGTTTGGTCTAAAGTCCTTCCCAAAGACATGGCTTGGTCTATAGTTAGTTGTAGAATCCTGGTGAGGTCTAAAGTCATTATCAAACTCGTGGGATGGTTCCTGGTTGAATCCATATTCTATTTCAGGGTTCTGGCTTAAAGTTCTAAGGTCATGGGTTGGCCGATAGTTGGTCTCAAAGTCCTCTCTGGGTCTGATCTCCTTCCCAACGACTGGGGTTCTGTTATTGGTCGTAGAGTCTTGGTTTGGTCTCACGTTCTTCATAAAGTCTTGATCAGATATTTCCTGGTTGTAGCTATAGCCTGTTCTAGATTGCTCGTTTAACGTTCCCATATCCCGGTTGGAGCGATAGTTCAATGCAAAGTCCTGATTTGGTCTGAAGTTTGTCCCAAGGTCCTGGTTTGGTCTACAGTCCATAGAAAGCCGGCTGAGGTCCCTTGTGACGCTGTAGTATTCTGGTGACTGGCAAACCAGGTGCGGAGCTTCACGGATGTCTCTGATCTCCTCCTGCGGAACTTGCACAATAGTTTTAACAAGAGCGAGACTTCCTATAGCCATGGCGATGGGGGCGGGACTTCCTGTGGCCTGTGCCGTGTCTGCGTCGCTGCAGGACAGAGCGCGGAGACTGGGTTCGCACGGGCGTTTGGGGGCTGCTGGTAAGCTGTGGGACTTGACGAGGCCAGGATCGGTCTGCGTCTTGGTCTGTGTCTTAGTGGGGGTTCTGGCGCTGGCTCGGAGCTCGTCGGCCACTGCTCTCTGCGGCTGCGCTCCTCTGTCCGGGTGGAAGTACTTACACTTGTGTCCATATGTGCACTTTTTACCTGAGAAACAACAACAGACAACAAAGTTTAGTTTTTCTTAAACTAGCTTATTTATGCGCTTTACAAAGCAGAGGTTCTTTTAAAACTGAGGTACCCAACTTTTAAACCGGCAACCTTTAAAATCTAGTACCTGGCTCAGTTTGCTTCTTTCTCTCTAACAATCACTAGTCTTCAGAAGTTTTTTAGCCTCTGTCACATCCTTAGTTCAGCTCAGCAGTGAAAAAGAGAGGACCAATTAGCCAATCAGCTCTAACCCAAAGAGACAAATAACATGGCTTTCTTGCTCTTTCCGTCTGATTTGTTCACAACATTTTACTTTTCTAAGACATATTGCTATGTAATTTTCCTGTTATTGCCTGTTGAAGTCCTCACCATAGGGACACGGCTGCTTCTTCTGCTCTGGCATCAACGGTCTCTTTCGGAGAAAGTTGTCCAGACTTGGCCCGTGTCGCCCCAAAGGATCGTCCGGAGGCATGAATCTACAAGGAAATTAAAAGAAAAACTTCAATGAAAAGACTTGGGAAGGCAATTAGAAGCATATATTTATTATATTATATACATGCATATTTTTGTAAATGTGTTTGTATATGGATGTAAACTTGTGTGTGTATATTTATATGTACAGTGCCTTGTGAAAGTATTCGGCCCCCTTGAACCTTTCGCCACATTTCAGGCTTCAAACATAAAGATATAAAATTTTAATTTTTTGTCATGAATCAACAACAAGTGGGACACAATCGTGAAGTGGAACAAAATGTATTGGATAATTTAAACTTTTTTAACAAATAAAAAACTGAAAAATGGGGCGTACAATATTATTCGGCCCCTTTACTTTCAGTGCAGCAAACTCACTCCAGAAGTTCAGTGAGGATCTTTGAATGATCCAATGTTGTCCTAAATGACTGATGATGATAAATAGAATGCCCCTGTGTGTAATCAAGTCTCCGTATAAATGCACCTGCTCTTTGATAGTCTCAGGGTTCTGTTTAAAGCGCAGAGAGAACCATGAAGACAAAGGAACACACCAGGCAGGTCCGAGATACTGTTGTGGAGAAGTTTAAAGCCGGATTTGGATACAAAAAGATTTTCTAAACTTTAAACATCTCAAGGAGCACTGTGCAAGCAATTATATTGAAATGGAAGGAGTATCAGACCACTGCAAATCTCCCAAGACCCGGCCGTCCCTCCAAACTTTCATCTCAAACAAGGAGAAGACTGATCAGAGATGCAGCCAAGAGGCCCATGATCACTCTGGATGAACTGCAGATAACTACAGCTGAGGTGGGAGAGTCTGTCCATAGGACAACAATCAGTCGTGCACTGCACAAATCTGGCCTTTATGGAAGAGTGGCAAGAAGAAAGCCATTTCTCAAAGATATCCATAAAAAGTCTTGTTTAAAGTTTGCCACAAGCCACCTGGGAGACACACTAAACATGTGGAAGTAGGTGCTCTGGTCAGATGAAACCAAAATCGAACTTTTTGGCCACAATGCAAAACAATATGTTTGGCGTAAAAGCAACACAGCTCATCACCCTGAACACACCATCCCCACTGTCAAACATGGTGGTGGCAGCATCATGGTTTGGGCCTGCTTTTCTTCAGCAGGGACAGGGAAGATGGCTAAAATTGATGGGAAGATGGATGGAGCCAAATACAGGACCATTCTGGAAGAAAACCTGTTGGAGTCTGCAAAAGACCTGAGACTGGGACGGAGATTTTTCTTCCAACAGGACAATGATCCAAAACATAAAGCCAAATCTACAATGGAATGGTTCACAAATAGACGTATCCAAGTGTTAGAATGGCCAAGTCAAAGTCCAGACCTGAATCCAATCGAGAATCTGTGGAAAGAGCTGAAGACTGCTGTTCACAAACGCTCTCCATCCAACCTCACTGAGCTCGAGCTGTTTTGCAAGGAAGAATGGGAAAGAATTCCAGTCTCTTGATGTGCAAAACTGATAGAGACATACCCCAAGCGACTTGCAGCTGTAATTGCAGCAAAAGGTGGCGCTACAAATAATATTGCACTTTTTCAATCCAGCACGCAAGTCCAGACTACAGAAAAGTGCTGCGTTATTTGAAACCTTCTTCAATTAGAACCAAACACTCCAGAAGAGACCTGGACCTGGACTCACTTGGACCTGCACTCTCTTGGACCTGGACTCTCTTGGACCTGGACTCTCTTGGACCTGGACTTACTTGTCGTTGACGAAGCTGAACATCAGCAGCTTCTGGTCAATGAACCTCTTCCACTCCGGTTTCTCGTTGCCGAGGTCTCTGTAGTTGTCGTTGGAGACGATGACGCCGTCGCTCTCAAATGCCAGTTTCACGATGAAGCGGTCGTCGTAGCAGACCACACGTCTGCCCTGGACTCTGCGGGACGGAGTGAAGACCAGGACCTTCTGCTTCTCCAGGATACGGAGGACATGCTGGTCTGAGGACAGAGGACATGTGGTCTGAGGACAGAGGACATGTGGTCTGAGGACAGAGGACATGTGGTCTGAGGACAGAGGACATGTGGTCTGAGGACAGAGGACGTCTCATACCTGTGATTGGTGCGTCAGGCCGGGACTGCTCCTTCCTCCATGCCGGCACAAACACGGTGATGTCATTGTGGCCGCGCTCCAAGAACCAGTCCACGGCGAGCTGAATGCCCCGGCACGAGAACATCTCCTTGTTACCGTGGCTACGGACAAATGCAGCGTTGGTGAGCGCTTTGGCCAAACTTCAAACATCATTTTCATTGCTCAAAAATATATATGTATTCATTCATCCATTGGGTTTTAAAAGGATAGAGATAAGTATGTTTCATGAGCTGACTATAAGCCGCACCAACTAAAACTGAGAAGATCAATTTTGTTCACAAATAGACTGCACTCGAATATAATATAATATTGTAATGTAGCAGATAGATGACTGGAGGTGATTAACAGCTGTGGCTGCTGCTGTCTCTCTTTCGGTTGGACACAGTCTCTACATTCAAGGCCAGGGTTAAAACAGTCCTCTTCAGTCTAGCATATGGTTAGGAAGTTAAGACTAAGGGAAGGCTAAAAATCTTATGGTGCTTTCAGACCGCCAACGCTGAAACGCACAGTCTCTAGTTTTCACAGTTCTCTAGTTTTCAGACGCAAGGGTCTTCAGACCAGAAGTCCTGGCGCGCGCCTGAAGTGGCGGAAGTAGCCGGCGGGCTGATGCTAACAGAGTTTAGCTAGCGGCTTCTTGTGTAAAGATCTTCTCTAATAATGCAGCTTTGCAGCGTGTCTGTGTTCAGAGACCTTCCACAGACTTTATATAACAGTAGTATGTGTTCACAGAGGTGCGCAATAAGTTTATTTTATTATTAAACGGTATTTCCGCATCGACGAACACACTCGAAGCAGTTGCATAAAGTCACGGGAGCATGAAAACTCACTCCCCCATCATCAACCCTGGTTTAGTCCTAATGTAGCTCCTGTTTTGGCTGTTCACAGTATTTTCAGTCTGCTCGTTCAGACCGCTAATATCCCCGTGACCACTTTGCGGCTCTCTGATTGGTTGCTGCACGTGCGTCCCGAGGAGAAGTGAGCAAAATTCATCTCCTGCGTTCTTCCCCGTCGACTTTCCCGCGCAGTCCGTTCGTGCGTCCCGACATGTTCGTGCGTCCCGACATGTTCGTGCGTCCCGACATGTTCGTGCGTTTTGACGCTCGAACGCGCGTCACCATGGACTTGCATTGAAAGCCAACGGAACGCATGATCCGGTCTGAACGCGGCATTAGACAGTCAAGCTGCATAAGGAGTCAGTTTGCTGGGAGAAGTATGGTAACTTGAGCACTATCCTCTCCTCCTTCCTACTTTATCTGTCTGCATTATTAGGATTTTGACTGTAGTCTGTTCATTGCTATTCACCCGTGGTCCCATTGTCTGTTTCATGGCGCGGCAACGAGACCTCTGAACCCGGCCCTCTCCATTTACACCTGCGGACTGCCCTACCCGACCCGCCTGGGAGCTGCTTCAGTCCTGCACTGGACCGCTCCATGTTCTGCGGCCGCTGCATGGCCCTGGTCCATGTTCTGTAGCTTAGGTCCTGGATCTATAGCCCCTCCGTCCGTGTGGAGCGGATCCCTCTCTCAATGTGGATCTCCTCGAGGTTTCACACTTTTTTCCCACTGATGCAGGAGTCTGTGGGACAGTTAGTGTCTAACAAGAAGGACTGAGGGGATGATCCAGAACACGCAATATTCTAAAACATGTATGGACATTTATCAACATTTATGGACATTGGCCTCTCCCTATGGACCAATACAAATGTGTATATATATTATATACATTTTTGTGTCTGAACTGTTGATTCTCTGATCTGTGTTGGTGATTTAAATGGTTTTGTTAAGTCCTCTGAGATGTTTTTGTGATTTAGGGCTATACAAGAATAAATTGTATTGTATTGTAGCTTCCATGACTCATTCACCTTCATCTATTTGACAATAAATGAGTGTCCTATAGCTATCAAAAGTTGATGGAGCCAGAATAATACGTAAAAAAACAATAAGAAGACACATGTTTTATGTTGATGTGTTAAATAATTAAATAGGATTAAATGTACACAGCTCCATTCTAACCTCATGGCCACATTGCTGCCATCCACTACCACTGGCCGCAGGTTGTTGCGTTCGCCCTCAGGAGACGGCGATGCTCCGCGGCCCTTGTCCTGGGTGTCCAGTCCAGTCTCGGGTCTCTGCGGGTCCTGGTCCGGTTCCGCTGCCATGGTTCCGATGCGCACCAGCTCCGCCAGCACGTCGTTTATGAGTGTACGTGGACCCAGCTTGGACAACACCCAGCGCACCGTCTGCTCGCTGTAGCCCAGTTTGAGAGCAAAGTCCAGTTTGGTCTGCAGCTCCACACTGCCCTCTGCTGGAGACTGTGGGGAGGACTGAGGCTCTGGGTCTGTGGTATGAGGTTTGAGATCACACTCTGGATTTGGGTCGTGACCATTTCTGCACAAAAACAAATGTAATCAGGGCGAGACAAATGTATAAATTTATCTCAATGGAATTTTTATCACCAGTGTTTTGAATGCACATATCAGAAAACTTGTGTGAAATAGGAGAATTCTCTGTGTGGGGTTGGTGGGCAAGAAAACAAAAAGATGTTATGACCACTAGGTCCACTAGGACTTTACTGATGCTTGAAATATGCAAGCCCCGGTGATCCAAGATGGCGCCCTATTCAAATGAATGGCTTGTGCTCAGTATTGCATGGGACATACAGGGGGACCAAGAGATTAGCGGGACTCGCCCATATTTGGGCATGGTCTGGTCCTCTCGGTTCTGCGCAGTGGACGAGCTCCTATGATGCGTTGCACCAAATACGCGTGTGTGGCTCTCATGCACGTACACAGAGGGGCTCGGCTGCGCTTTGACCATAGACTGTATATATTAATGGACGTAGACACACCTATCTCCGCCGTTCTAACTAATGGGCCAAAAATTTGGCTCTCATTGAGTGATTCAAAATGGCCGCGGGGGCTGAAAAATGTGAAAAAACGCATCTGAACATGCGTCAGCCGGCACAAGCTCTATTCATTTAAACGAGTGATTCACAGCGAGTAAACTACAGTGGTCACCCCCCTCAGCATTGACACACATGTGGAACGGAGCTTTGGGCCAAGAAACAACTTTTGGACCATCCTGTAAAGACGTTTTTGAGAGGTAAACAGATGCTATACGTTAGCATTGGCTATTTCTTATTCTGGGTCCACCCCCATCGGCCCGGAGGAGTGGTATTGCAAGCTTGTCAGCGCACGTCAATTTGGCCACTTTAGAGCCGGCAACCCACCCCCACTGGCTTTGACCAATCAGAGCAGTGGTAGAGAGGAGCCAGAGCGGGGGAAAAAACAATCAGAGTTTGTGGAAGTAAAGTGTAGATTTAAAGAAAACCGAAGGATTTAAGAATAAAAAATGTTCAGGATGACTAGGGACACTAAAATCCCCATAAAATCCGACCATTGTGAAAGCTGTAGGTTCTCTGTCAGCTGAGGTTGAGCTGTTTTAGTTTACATTGAGTTTTATGCAACATTTTTCTGGGTAGCCCACGTGAAATTAGTCTGCAGTACCACGCCCCCCTATGCCCATTGGTGGGACAGCTAATAAGCTAGTAATACCCTATCCAGTTATTATTATAGATCCATGGGAATATTTGTAAATTAATACCGGTAATTGTTCTTACCTAAGATCTCGTTGTTTGTCAGTCAGTGCCTCTGTCTGGGCCTCTGTCTGGGCCTTTGTCTGGGCCTCTGTCTGGGCCTCTGTCTGGGCCTTTGTCTGGGCCTCTGTCTGGGCCTCTGTCTGGGCCTCAGCCTGGACCTCAGTCGGCGGCCCCTCGGGTCCTAAGTCCACACATCGGCTCCTGCACAGTGGCTGGTGAGCAGGTCGGACTTCCTCCCTCTCCCCCTCCATTGCAAGGGGGCACTCTTGTCCCGTCAGGTGCAGGTAGACCAGCTCCAGTTCTGAGTCCAGTCCTGAGTCCAGACCGGGGTCCAGACCAGGTTCCAGAGAGCGAGCCTCCTCAGTGTCCTCATAGTCCTTCTGTCCCATGAGATTGGCTCAGACATCCAGAAGACGGAACTGGAGCTGAAGCTAGAAAACAGACAAATATGGTGTGATAGACAGATCATGTGACATCATCATTGAGAGACCAGAGTCCCCAAAGGTCCTGGTTTCAGACCACAGAGCGTCATCTCTGACCTGTGGGCCTCAGGGGTCCAGATCTGTTCACACTAGCATCAAACCTAATTTTTAATACTATTTCGACGAGGTGTTATTCTTTACAAAGTTTAATAACTTACTTGTCTCTCCAGTTTTTCAAATAAAGTTGAACATTCAAAGCAGTGGAGACAGTGAGCTGCTATCCAAGCTAATCCAAGCTAATCCAAGATAATCCAAGCTAATCAAAAGTGGTCATACACATAGTATTTTATTTGTGGAAGGTTTGTGGAAGCTCATCTTCTGCAAGTTACCTTTACTTAAAAATGGTGTGGACGTCCTCTTTTGATTTTTAACAAAACGTTTTGATTGAAACAGATCTGTACAAAGGAGACTGTGATTTAAAGGGTATCACCTCCTCCCACCTCTGATGCCTTAGTAATAATTAATAATATTAGGTATCCCATATTTGTCGGACTTGGACTCTGTGTGTATTTGTAGGCTATGTGGCTTGTTGCCATCCTAAATTCTGGCACCCCGGGGGAAACCTCCTAACCCCCTGAGGCGTCTCCTAGCAACAGCTGTTTCAGAAAATGCATCCCCCCTCCCCTTTGTCTCCATTCACAATAAGCAGCAGTAACTGAAGTGTGCCGTTTGCAGCCGCACATGCCTTCTGCACAATCTCACATTAAAGCTGGGGTCTGTAACTTTAAAGCTGGGGGTCAGTAACATTAAAGCTGGGGTCAATAACTTTCAAACTGCCCAAGACCTCGTCTCTAGTTCCTGGCTCTAAAACAGTTTCACAAGTTTCACTCAAATTTGACCTCTGTCACATCTTTCAGATCAGATTTTTCAGACAGAAAAGTGAAAGAGAGGACCACCCTCATCAGCCAATCCGCTCTCAGCCCAAACAGTCTGATGGAAGCGTGCTGATAAGATGGACACAGCATGTTGTAAATGTGTTTACTTTTTTCAGATACAATCAAAAGGAATACAGTTTGCTGAGACGGCGGCTTCATAATGTGGAGGAGGGGTCAGTGAGTGCATCATTCAAACTGGGCAGTGTGTGTGTGTGCGTGTGTGTGTGCGCATGTGCGTGCATTGTGGTGTCAGTTTGAATAATAATGAGATGGACTGACGCAGCAGCAGATGTCAGTCTGTGAAACCACGCGCCAAGTTCAAACCAACAGACCACAAAAACAGGATATGAAAACTCATTCAAACATGGGTTTATTACAAAGTTCTATTGTGATCTGAAAGTTAGGTATTCCAGCTTTATTTTTGACTTAAATGAAACATAGTATTAATTGCCTTAATGATTGTCTTGGCCTCATCATCACCGCACACGTCCCCAATTGAGCATGTTTGGGATACTGTGGATCACTTGATACCACAACATGTTCCAGTTCCTGCCAATATCTAGCAACTTTACAGTAAAACTGTGACTTTGATTTGATTGCACTTTTGCTCTAAACATTCCTTGAGGAAACAGTCCAGTTCATCTTTATATTACAATATTTGTACAAGTTAGTATTTTGTAAATGCACTTAGCAGATTTGAGTCAGTAAATAAACAGGAGTTAGTGCTAATGCTACTGTGCTATAACATCTTACATTACACCTTCACCCACACTAATGTGAGTCTGGTGTGAATGATGGTGGTGGTCGGAGGGGCTGATGGCACAGACAGTGTGCCCAGGGCAGCTGTGGCTACAGTAGTAAAATGTTTGGAATGAAAGATGCATTCTCATTTTTTGATGGGAACAGATGTATTTTACTGAAGAGCACGAGAGATGGGAGCTTTGTTTTTACATCTGTGGTTATTATTGTGAAAACTCGACATACAACTCACATAAGGGACAGTACTCTGCATAATGGCTGCGTAACGAGCCCTAGAGCTGTGTTTGGGTGAGTAAAGCATGTACTGTTCTTTCCTTATTGAAGTTTTCCTTGAGAAAAATGCTCCACGTAGATGAGGAACAAGCTGTAGTCCATTATAATTATAATGATTCCTCTAGTCGTGAAAGTCAGGCAGAGTCCAAACAACATGTAAACCTTTCCCACTGTGGCTCCAGGCAGGCACATTTCAACACGGGACAAAACAGTGCAGCCTCATTCATCATTAATCTGCAAATTATGTTGTATATTTCATGAATGAAAATGAAAAAACTCTACACATCCTCCACTCACCGCTTCAGTCGGTACCAGGAGACACCGGCATCTTCACTCTTTCAAATGAATCCAGTGGGAACAGGGAGCTCACAAGCAGAAGTAGTAGTAGTAGTAGCAGCAGTAGTAGTAGCAGTATTAGCAACAGTAGTAGTAGTAGTAGTAGCAGCAGCAGTAGTAGTAGTAGCAGTAGTAGTAGCAGTAGTAGCAACAGTAGTAGTAGTAGTAGCAGTAGTAGCAACAGTAGTAGTAGCAGTAGCAGTAGTAGCAACAGTAGTAGTAGCAGTATCAGTAGCTGTAGCCGGAGGTAGTGGAAAGCAGTTAACTTGGACAATGAAAGCAGATGGAGCAACAATGAGCTGGGTTTGCTGGGTTTGAGTGATCAACCAATAGGAGAGCACCAATTTGACAATAGAGGAGAGAGAGGCAGAGGGGGGGCTTCCAAAAGGCGCGTGTCGCTGCAAAAGCTGCCAAGTGAAAAGACGCAGAAATAAATAAAGCACATTTCAAAATAAGATCTGAGATTTAGACCCCAGAATTTATAAAAAGTTTACTATATTGACCCAATCAAAACTTTACACACTGCAAGTGTCAAAAACAAAAGCTTAGATTATGTATTTCTCTTGACTTGATTAAGTAAGTAATGTTTATTTATATAGCACATTTTACAGACCAAGGTCACCCAAAGCGCTTAACAATGTTCAGAGTGCAGTTTGAAGCCCAGGAAAACATGATACTACTTTCAACACGCAAATCAAATTTCAATAATTATTTGAACATTTTGACTTTCATATTTTTTTTAAATGGTGCAGGCTTAATGCAACCTCCACATCTCCTTTCTGGTGGGAACAATAGGAGGCACAGGGAGGACACCTGTTCTCTACAGCAGCACACTCTGGGAGTGAGTGTGTGTGTGTGTGTGTGTGTGTGTGAGGGGGGGTCCACACAGATCAAACGCCTGCATGTCATTGTGTTGGCACACTTCAGACCAGACTGTTTGAGAAGCTGAGTCATAAATCCAGGATTAATGTCAGGCGTATACAAACTCAGACTTTTGTGCGGGTCCTTGAGGAAGAGCCCAAACCAATGACCTGGAGCATGTGGGAGTGAGATCTGGTCTCCTGCTTTTTAGACAACCATCCTCGTGTTGATTGTCCTGCACCACAGTCAAAGCAGAGTCTATAAACAACCGCACCATATGGTGAGATAAATGAAGCATATCTTGTCTTATCTTATGTACACCACCTTTATAGCTCTGATTCAACACAGAGAGAACACATCACGACTGCTTCAGTGTGGCCCAACTTATTTTATTTCATTAATAATTTCAATTGGAAAACAACACAATGAGAAGGTATGGAGCAAATAGTCAGTTATGTTTATTCATAAATCACATACAGTCAGAGCTGTACCCAGTACACATAGCACCAGCCCCTCTCTGATCCTCCTGCTGCAGGTGGTGAGTCCACAGGAGGACGGCTGCTCTGTCAGTGAGCGCATAGCCTTGATCTTTCAGCAGGGGCTTTCAGGCAAAGTGGGGTTAAGCGTCTTGCCCAAGGACACAACGACAGCAGGAATCAGTGGGACCTTGAAGTAGGTCTCATGGTGGGCTCGAACCCACAACCTTCAGGCCCAAAGGCCAATGCGCTAGCCACTGTCGCCCTGTTTATAACTTCCAATCTACCTAAAAGATTTAATTTTTCTTTGTTATTTTTTTTATATAGCGCTTTTTTGGACGTGCTTCACATGTCATTATTCATTCATTCCATACACTGTGATGATAAACTAATACTGTAGCCACAGCTGCCCAGGGGCACACTGACAGAAGCAAGGCAGCCAGTATGTGCCATCGGCCCCTCCAAATACCACCAAAAAGTAAAAAATATCACACAGTCACACAGACACACTTTTATATATATATATATGATATATAAGTGTGTCTGTGTGACTCAACTGCAGATCGCCAAAATAACCCGGGTCACATTTTCCATCATAACACCGGCGTCCTGACAGGTGCCTGATTTATCCTGGTTTTTTTTTGAAACATCAGATCCTATTTAATGGAAAGAACATTCCAATTTAAACGTGTTACTTGTTATATTGATGTGATTCATTTTCAGCATGGGTCAGTTTCGAGCTTTAAAGGGGCGGTGATTTGTGTGAGGGGTGCACAATCCACCATTACACCTCACGACCCGTCTGCTCGCTCTCCTCCCGCGGCCCTTTCACTAATGTAGCGCCCTCATGGAGCCCACCCTCGGTCACTTGCCTCCGAGTGGGTCCGCTCTCCACACCGCGGTCCTCCTGGCTCCCACTCCCGTCCCACAGCGTTACATTCCGGGCACAACCATCGCTAACGGGAGCATCATGCGCCGCTGAGTGAACCGTAGACTACCCTCATAAAAGGCGTACTTCCGCTGCCAACCACAATAAAAGCTACGGAAATACTTTTTAGTAATTTCTACTAACCAAGTTGGGCAGTCTGTCCATGCTGAAAAATCCTGCATATTCATTATCCAGACCCTCAAAAATGATTTAAAGTATGAATAGGTTAAACCTTGATTTCATTCGGAGAAACAAATGTCTTTATATAGCTAAAAAATATGTGATTAGATCTTATGAAATGCAACTGATTTTGACATTATGAATGGTATGTTGAAGATTAAGTGGCTGAAAATGTCTGTAAATAAGTAATCATTATTTATAGACCGTCTTTCACAGACC